AATAGAAGAGGAACCCTAAAGAGGTGAAATTGAGGTGATTCTGTGATGCTGATAATGTCCCTTCATCTGTGGAAATGGAGGCTACTTCCATTGGATTCTTTCTGCTGTGCGAGAGAGAGACCGAAGCCCAAATCATAAGACTTACCCTTCCCAACATGACAATTACAGTTATATCCCCAAGACGATAACCATCCATAAATCCAGATTCCCCACTTATGAAATGATTCCATCAAAATCCAAACAAGAATTTTTATGAGTCTGCTAAAGGAAGTTGATTAATCGGACAACTAAGAACGATTAACAGCTTAAACCTGCAAATATATTTTATAATAAAGAAAGACGAAATTACAAAGCATAATAAAGACAAGAGAAGGCTGACAATTTTAGACAAGCCAATGCCAGCCATAACAACAACTTCAAACCCGAAAAGCACTTATTCAGGAAACATTAAATCAGAAGCTCTAAAACATCAACTTTGCAACTACCTTCTTCTTTGAACAAGTCTTTTGGCTTTCCTCATCTTCCTTCCACTTTGACTTGGTCGGCCATCAAACAAAGACACAAACCATTTTGGTTTTCCTGTTCGGAAGACAAGATATCCCATCAGCAGTCCAAAAACAACTCCACATCCATACCCTAACACCACAACCCTCCAGCCCAATCTCCAGAACTCATCTTTTTCTAGGAAGGAGCTCGGCGGTGTCCCAATTCCATCACAAGATTTTGACAATGGGAATCCACACAGTCCAAGGTTTCCTTCATAAGAACCATTTCCAAAGGTGTTGAACTGACTGCCCTGCGGTATGCGCCCGACAAGATGATTATTTGAAAGATTCAATACAGAGAGTTGTGTCAAAGATACCAATCCATCAGGAATTTTCCCCGCCAGCTCGTTGGAAGAGAGATCCAACCATTCCAGATTCCTCAAATTCCCTAGTGACGGTGGGATCTGACCAGTAAGGTTGTTATGAGAAAGATTAAGCCCTTTGAGAGAACTAAGCTTTCCAATAACATCTGGAATTTCTCCCTTAAACTTGTTATTTGAGAGATGAATACTACTGAATATGGTCAAGATTCCCTGCAGCTCATAGTCGAATCCCTTCCATGTCACAACCAATGAATATTGATAAAAATTGAATCTCCTTGGCGTCTCCATGTATTCAGGGAAACCATCCTCTCCATGAGAGTCCATCATAGCTTTAAAATTTTCCATGTACCGAAGAGGCAAAGGACCAAGAAAATCATTGCCGGAGAGGTCCAGAACTCGTAACTTGGAAAAAGATGTACTTTCTTTGGTGCTCTGCACAAAACCGTGGAACTTGTTGGACCTTAAGACCAGCACTTGAAGGTCTGGTAGAGATTCCAACCAATGAGGGAATGTGTCCTCTATGTTGTTGTTGCCAATGTCTAGAACCTCTAACATGCGACAATTCACCAAAGACTTTGGTAATAAGCCCTCCATTTGATTTCCATGTAAGTTGAGATTTCGTAATCCACAGCCCTCTGGAAACCCAAATGGTATATTTCCATCAAAGTAATTGGCCTGCAAATTCAACACTGAGAGAGACTTAGGAAGACAATTTGGAATCTTCCCGATTAAATTGTTATGAGAAAGGTCAAGAATTTGGAGATCATCCTTTTCACATATCCAGTCGGGAATATTTCCATGAATGCTATTTTTGGATAGCACTAGGCTTTGCAGACCATTTGAATGTCTTATGAAATTGGGGAATTCACTCAAGTTACAAGAAGAAAAGGAAACATCAGCTAGTATGGGTAATGTGAAGTTGGCATTGACATTCATTCTCAAGGACAGATTATTGTCTGAAAGAAAGATGATTTCCAGATATTGAAGTGCCGAGAACATGTCAGCTTCTACTAAATCACTAAAATGATTTGATGATAAATCGAGATAACTAAGATTTACTAAATTAACAATTGAGTTAGGAATTGAGCCCTGGAGTTTATTGTTCGACAAATCTAGTCGTATGAGTGAGTTCTGCTGGAATTGATTTATTTGACCTTGAAATTGGTTATGACTGAGACACAACTGCTCTAACAAAGGTAGGGTGAAAATCCAAGGTGGCAACATGCCATTAAGTAAGTTATAAGATAAGTCTAGATAAGTTAGTTTGGAAAACCTAATAGCATGAAAGGAAATGGGACCAGAAAACTGATTATTTGAAAGATCAAGATCACTAAGTTGTGTGAGGTTTGCAAGTGATGCTGGGATTTGTCTGCTAAGACTGTTAGAAGAGAGCTCTAGGCTAGTAAGTTGCCTTAAGTTACCTATGGAAGCTGGAATGGGACCAGAAAACTGATTAAGTGAAAGGCTAAGAAAGGTAAGTTGGGTGAGGTTTGCAAGTGATGATGGGATTTGTCCACTAAGATTGTTAGAATAGAGGTATAGGCTAGTAAGTTGTGTGAGGTTTGAAAGTGATGTTGGGATTTGTCTATTAAAATTGTTTTGAGCGAAGCTTAGGTAAGTAAGTTGAGATAAGTTCCCAATGGAAGCTGGAATGGAACCTTCCAAGTTGCAGCCAAGACTCATATACTGTAATGACTTTAGATCTCCTATAGACTCTGGCAATCGCCTTCCACAATCCATATCAGCTAAATACAACCGTTGGAGAGGACTGCTCCAATTGGAACTTGCAAGATCAATAGTGAGGTTTCCCTTTCCACCTAAACTAAATCTCTTGAGATTTGGAAAGCGGAAAATACTGTTTGGAAAATTTCCTCTTAACTGACAATCAAAAAGACGAAGAGTAGTCAAAGAAGAAGAGAGATTCATGAAGAAACGAGGATTAACAGATGTCATGTTCACTCCATTAAGTACAAGTTCTCTCACCTCACTCAAGTTATGAACAAGATTTTTGAAGGTAGTTGTTTCAAGGATCAAGTCAGAAGAAATTTGATAATTAGAGAGATTGAGAGAAAGTAACTTGGGGAGGTGAGCAATTTCTTCCGGAACATGACCCGAAAATCGAGAATCAGAGATATCAAGATGCTTTAGCCTAGTAAACTGACTGATTTCCGATGGAATCTTGGAATGCCTAAAATCATTCAAGGCAAGATTGAGGCTCTGCAAGTTTCTGAGGGAGAAAAGAGTGCTGTTGGAAGGAAAGGTGCCATAAAGGAAACTGCAGCTGAGATTAAGGGCAATTACATGGCCTGTGACATTATCACAGCTAACCCCATCCCAGGAACAACAGTCTATACCTCCCTTCCATGACTCAATCTTAGAATAACTTTCCACACAATAATATGAATAAGGAACAGTGTAATTGATGGAGAAGGATGTCTTGAATTGCAGCAAAGCAAGAGCCTCCTCATGAGAGCAACGATGTGTTGTTGAGAAGGAAGAAGCATGTATAGAGGATGAGAAGGCAGTTTTAAGACAGAGGAAGACAAAAAGGAGGCAGAGTGGTGCAGAGAGCTTTGTGAAGATCCTCATATCTTTGTTTGGCGCAATAGAGTACTCTAGAAGAGTATATATAGAGTGTTTCAAATTAATGTATGCTAATAATTGAATATATTTTATCAAAACAAAAATAAATGAATATAGACGGTAAGATTGACGCATGGTGGATGTCATTTTTCAATCTATTTTTAAATTTTTTTATTTATTATTTTGAAATTTAAATGAATGACTTAATCTAAAAGATTTTTTTGCTTTATAAGATTCAAATTAAATTTAAATAAGGTTTTTTAATTTTGTTTATCTTATTAATAAAGCAATAATTTTATTTTGAATTCATTTAGTTTTCAATTTTTAACTAATAATAAAAGGTAAATAAATTATCATTATTTTAATTTTTTAAAAAAAATATTGAAAT